TCTTACAATGATTAAAGAAAGGTCGGTTTCTTTGCCTGTATTACCTCATCAATTACTTAGCATACTATAGTATTAGTACAAGATTATCTTTAAAAATCCTCATCTCCAGCCTTGAGAGTCTTAGAAACACAAGAGGATCTTGTGCTTTCTTTGCTATTACTATACTGTGATTTTTTTTAAATTATTTTTTAGTTTTGCAAATTCACATTTGTAAAGTATACGTTAAGGTCACATCTAAGAATAATGAAAGGTTGAATCAATCTTTATCTATTAAAGGATTTTAAAAGTTTGTATCATGAAAAGCAATTAGTAAGTGTTAGCAGTTGCTTGTGGATTAACTGTAGCCCAGGTCAACAACTGACAAATCATCAAAATAGAAGACTACCAAAGTGATGACTACAAGGTGAAATTACATTTCTACCTAAAAAAACCCGACAACAAAAAGAAAAAAAAACCTAATGCAGAAAAAAAACCACAAAAAGACCCCCAAGCCCCTAACACTCATCCCCCAAAACCTTCAAGTATTGGAGCTCTAGAAGTACATGTTCTTGTAGCTTTGGCAAAGCTCATTTGTTGATCTTAATTGCTAGGATGTGTTTCAAAAGAATTAACTTTCCGTCCATCCATACGTGTGTGCACATTTTAACAGGATGTCAGTTTTCATCTGTCCCTTACCTCGTAACTGCTGTGGTCAAATACAGCATTTTTTGCATTGCTCCTAGAAACACCACCTTCCTTTCTCAGGTTTGAGTGTGTGAAGTTGTAGTAGTATTTGTATATAAATGTCTGCTCTGCTGGAATGTCATAAAGCATCAGTTACCATGAGTTCAATAAATACAGATCTGTACTATGTTGGGGGAGGAAAAAATTTGGAAGTAGTTTTCTAGGCCAATGGCACACAATGGAGTCATTTTCTAAACTCTTGTAAGAGGGGTTATTAACTGTAAAGGTTGTATTCAGGTGGCTGTCTTCTCTTTCAATGAGAGTCTTAAAGGTGCAGAATTAAGATTCTGGACTCCTGTGTTGCAGATGTCCACAGGTCAGTTGTATGTAATTTCTGCACATTGACTTAGACATTTAGGGAAGCCATTAGAGAATCCTAATACTTATGTATTTCAGTCAGGGTTTTCTTTGAAGTTTAAATGGTTACATGCTACATGAGGTTCTTGACTGAATAGTTGGAATCCCTTTAAGAAAACATTGTGTTAGATACCAAGACCAGGCACACTTTAACTGCAAACTTGAGTACAATAGAAACTCAAGTACAGGTTAGATGGTCTGTGTAGGTGTGTCTCGCTGACATTTTAGGTACATCTTTCTTAAAATATTTTAAGGCTACCCTATATATAGTTGTTCCTATATTTATAGAAAGAACAGTATCCTACATTATTGCACAGTAACCTGTTTACATGCATGCTTTCTTTGGGAAAAAGTCTCCTGTAATTGGAGTAGTGATTTATTGTATGTATAAGGTGAGCAGGAGCTACTGCAGGGGGAAGTTGAGGAAGGGTTGGGCTGAAAGCTGAGCAGCGCTGTGGTCTTCACCAGCCCTAGAAGACACTGTACAAACCTTTGTCACCTCTTAGTACATTGTCTTTCTGTTTGATTGTAGTTCCTAAAGCAGCCACCAACAGATGCAGTGTGAAGGAGCCAAGTCTCCTTCATTGGTCCGAGGTGATCTGTGTCTTACAGAAGCAAATTATAGCTCCTGAATGACACATAGAGCACGTTTCAAAGAGTTTTCTTTTCAGCCACGTCTTGCCTACGGAGGTGGCATGCCTACTGGCAGTGGCAGGTACTGAATGTGATAACTGTGCAACAGTTGTGCTGGGTGCTCATTGAATCCCAGTATAGGTCTGTGGCTCAGTGGCATTGCGTTTGCATTACTGACCTCTCCTTTTACACCAGCAATTTCCCTGAGTGTCAGCTGCTGGAGGAAATAGCCAGCAAAGATATAAAACTGTGGAATACAGTAAAAGGTAATAATGTGCCACCCAAAATGAAAAGGTTGGCAGGTCTAAGCTGAGACAGTGTTTCATTTGTTCAGATGTGTTATAGCTTGTTTTTAAGGTATGGAGGCAAGTTTTGGATCCATCATGATCCAAAATACATCTAAGTATTCTTTTCCTTCATAAAAACTAACAAAAAAGTGGTCTTGTGCTCCTCCTTGGGACTTGGGCACATGAGCCTGTTGCTAGGTTAGGACCTTTGATGTCCATTTCAGATTAAATTCTTGTCTGGGATTCCTGCCTTTTTTAGGAAATGTGCTTGGGCTTTTTTTTTTCTGTTCTAGTGGTTCTGTGTGATTTTTCTCTGATAACATACAGCTTGGGCTTTGTTTATCTTCTGTATCTTTCATTTGTGTGGAGGTGTTCCCAAAAGTCATTGTGAACATTTTAAGTTTTTATTTTACATGTTTATTCTTTATTGATCACTTTAAAGCTTATAGATGCATATATAATATTCTAAAATAGGATTGGTTGTGATATTTTAAAGGGAATTGCCTTGAATCATCAAATACACTTGCAATACCTTGTGGTATGATACCGCTGAAAGATGTATTTGCAACTCTGCTTTTGTAGTAGTCCTTTTTGGTAGCCTGTGTCAACTGTAAAAATAGTAATCTCAAAATAATTTTGTAGTGAATTCTTTGTATCGTGACTTAAAACTATAGAAGATAAATACTTTCCCTATCTTACAGGCCAGACCAAACAGCTGAACCCACATATTTGGGCTGTTGCAGCACTAAGGAAACCCATTGAAAGCAGTGGCTCAGGAGATCCTCCACTTAGATCAATTGAAGAGTCTTGCCCTAGCTTTCTATAATACTCAAGTAACTGTCCTGAATGAGGCTTCAGATGGGTTTTCAGAAGTCAAGACCTAGTGATCTGTGGAAATATTTAATGTTATATTGTTTCTTGTGGAATAAGAAATACCAAATTGCATTCGTAATGTCACACTCCTCCTAAGAAGGTATAATTCTGAACTTTCTCCTCCATGATTCTCCAACTCTGACAAGAAATACTGGAACTTGTGTGTTGTGGTTTGTTAAAAAATGTAAATTTATGTTCAAAATTGTTTGTCAGTCTCTCAGAAAATTAGAAGTAATTAAATAGAAAGTTCTACAGATTTGTGCCATTTCTGTACCCTCTCATCTCAAGATGGTGTGAGAAGCAGACAATTGTAATAACTTGCTGCTACTCCTTTCCAGCTTAATTTGATCTTGTTCCTTAATTCTGACAGATTGTTTTTAATTTTCCCATCTGTTCCATAAAAATCTCCAGTGATTGACTCTTAGGAAAAAATAATGTCTAATAGCTGAGCCATTTTTAATGAGTTGGTATGAGTTATTTAATGAGACGTGCTGAAGAAGGCAAGCCAAGTGAAAGATTGGGCCTGTGGTGGTGGTTGTAAAGAAAGGTAAAGGGCAACGTTATACTTCAGGAAATCTCTTCTCTTTATCCTCAGCTGTTGTCTGCAATTTGAGGCAGTGCATATCCTTAGACACATAGACAAAAAACAAAGGTTCAGTAGCAGTAATTCCTTTTCCCCTTTTATTTAGTGCAATGTCTACCCTCAGACAGTGCTGCTTTGGGGAGAGGAACAGTCATGCAAGGGGGAAAAAAAAAGATCAAAGAATAATACTTAAGTAAACTTAAAAACATTGTACGCTGTGGTTTAACTTCATCTCTTCTAGCAACCTGTACTGTAACTCCCAGTTATTCTCGTGTTAGGTCAGAAAGGACCCCTGTGCCAGTAAACAGAGTGAATGTTCTCCTCCAGCCTCTCTGAAGGCAAAAACCCTTTGCTTTAAAATTGCCTGCAGATGACATCTCCTGGGGCAGGAAGCCATCAATATGCAGTACGGGTCTTAAGAATAGCAAGCATGAATATAAATGTTAACATCTGGACTTCCCCCTTCTGTTTTGCTTTTAATATATTATTATAATAAACATTAACATTATTTTTAATAATCATCAAATAGCAGTTTCTCTGGCAGCCTGAGACTTCATTATTAAATCAAATGGTGAAAATAAATATACAGCTCTTTTACAAGGAAAGTTGAAAGTTTGACTCAACTCTGCAAATATGCCATTGTTAGTCTAATCTATTGTAGAATTCATAGAATAATGAATTAGCTTTCCAATTGCATACAGTGAGGCATAACAAATGAGAGAATGCTACCATGGTAATGAGCAAAATATACACTTGTTTTTGCAGGTTTTAACGGGCTACCAACTAAGGAGAGAGGCTTTTGTCTGCATTTTTTTTTAAATAATAAAATCTGAGAATAATTGAAGTGAAAAAGAGAGTAGGGAACATCCTCCACACTTTTAGAGCACCTCCAAATATTCAGCCTGCCCGGTTTCCCTATGACATGTATTTCAAACAACCAAAGAGGACAGGGGAAAGAATAAAATGTGACTGTTAAAGCACTGAATGTGGTAACAGTTAAAACTGCTTCTGGTTTAAATTTGTACAAAATTGGACTTGAGTGGTGTCTGTTTAATGCCCAGGCTCAGCAAGCATCCACAGACAGGAGATGCTCTGTGCTTATACAGAAGTCTCTGGCTCTGAGTGAGACTAGACTGTGCCGAAGAGTTAGACTATCCTAATCTGGGACTGATAAAAGGGAATATTTTTTTTTTTATTTTTAAGGATATTTTTCATGTTATTACTATCTAGTAGCAATGTTCCTAGAGTTGGACCTTTTTTTTTTTTTTTTGTCTGTTGGGGAGAAGGAATTGATTGGCTGCTTACTTTGTGTGCATGGCAGGAGACAAAAGTGACTTAACTTGGGGTAAATTCTCATGGGCTTTGGGAACAGGACCCATTATCTATCCCTCTTGATCGATGTTGGACAAGGATCTTGTTGTATTGTGGCTTTAGTAATAAATCTTCTATGTATTTATGTAGTTACAATTAAATACACAAGATGTAAGTTTAATAGTTCATCCTTCATAAAGTATTGATCTTTTGTTTTTTATCTTCCTCCTTAGTGTGTCAATCCTGATCTTTAATACTTCTCGGCAGTGCTTTGTTGTGGTGAAGCAGTTCCGCCCAGGTAATCCTCTTTTTTTAGATTTACTTTTGCTCTCTAGTGAAGCAAGCTTTTAGGGGTTTAGCAGTTAAAAGTTGGTGCATCTGTGGTGTTAAAATCTTTGTTCTATATTCTGTTTCTTTGTATGATAGCCCACTCTTGTCAGTTGGTCAGAATTTCTAACTGGGAAATTTCCATTACAGATGAATGAAATTATCAGGGTAGCCTTACATTCTGCTTTTGGACTAGTCATTGTCCTCTCTTGGATGAAATTACAACAGTTCTACAATGATCATGTAATAGATTGCTTTTATTTGAAGTTCCTTCTTGACCTATCTAGTATTCAGTAGGTTGCTTCTGTGCAGAAACACAATATTCCTTTTTTTTAAATGTGTTATTGTGTGTTGTATACTTGGGGATTTAAAATGAGGGAAATTTAGGACTGTATGCTTTTTCAGCAATGCATGGACAGCTTCATTTTACCAGTTGTTATTATGAATTTAGGTTAATATACTTCTTTTTCTCCTGAGTTTTTGTATCAGTTATTTTAATTCAAAGCAATATTTACTTTTTGGAAGGTAAAAATTAAATGCATATTCTCTGCATGTTAATTAAAAAAAATCACAAGATATTTCACTGACTGTTGCTAAGAGACCATTTCAAGACTGTTCCTGGTAGACTTTATAGGAAACTTTAAAGGGTGGTGTCATGCTGTCCTTTCTTACTGACAGTGATTGACAGGCTCTTCAGTGTTGTGTAGCAGTGTTATACTGACAGTGCATACTTCTCATGAAGTACTATATTGACTATTACAAAGAGAAAGTGTTTGTTTATTTGTTTATCAATAATCCAAAGTCTTTTATTTGCCAGCTGAATAAAATGGCTCATATAGCTATTGCTCTCTTTGAGGCAATCTTAGGCAGAAGCCTTTGTGTGTGTGTATGTATATATATATATATATATGTACTGAACAGTGACATGTTCATTACATCATCCCTATGGAAGTGTCAAATCTGCCTCAAAAGATTGGACTGTTCTTGGAGTTAAACTGTTCCAGAGGCTGGAGCTGCTCAGAAACCTGGCCTTAGGGACAGTGGTCAGTCAGACACTCCACAGCAGTTCAGTGATCACAACTATGCCCTGACACTACTCACATCACTATAATTATATTTCCATTCCACAGTTATTGTCTGCCTTGGTGCCTGTTCCACAAGCAAAAATTAGGGCTGAAACTTTTCTTATTGCTAGCTCCTGTCAGGGTGCCACTAGGAAGGTGATAGCTTGTTACTTGTGAGCTGCCGCTCACTCACCAGGCACATCCCTTGCACCTGTGCTGGTTGGCAAATGTGCTTGCCTTTCCTTAGGGCGCAGTGTCATGATCAGGTTTTCTCACTGAAGTCTGTGCTGCTTATAAAGGCAGTTATCCCTCCCTGTGTGTACATTCCCACCACATTCCCTTTGGCAGTACCAGCCCTTATGCACACAGAGCAGACATCTTCTATGGCTGCAAACAGATAATTTTGAGGATTAGACAGCTTATCTGACTGGCCTGGAAGAGTTCATGCTGTCTTGAGGGGTGGCAGGAGCACACAACCGGGGTGAGGCAGACAGGATCATATTTTTCAGTGTACTGTGGACTTAGATCATCTTGAATATATCATTTGGAAAGAGCAGAGAGAAAAAAGTTACATATATATCTTAGTAGTTTCCATATTAGTTACATGCATGACAGATTGGCCAAGGTCTTGAGCAATGCTCATTTTGGTAGTCAATTGACTACATGTTTTCAAATATAGTAAAATAGTATGTTCCTGAGAAAGGCTAGGGTTGGTACCCATGAGCATGTGCCCTGGTTTTTTCACTGTAAGTATAATGACCTTTCAGTGGATTGTGGTGTTTATTTTTGCATTGACTTAAAAGAAGCAGTATCAAAGATCTGAATCAAAAGCCATGTTCAGGGGGTACAAAACACCAGTGCAATCAAAGAGAAATCAGAAGTTTAAAGGAAAGCTACCACGTTCCCCAGTCAGCTAAACCCCACTAACCCCTCAGTCTGTATTGTTGTTTTCTTCTCTTTATTAGCAACAAGTCCCTGTATATAAGTCATCTAACAGTGCTGCTTTGAATAACAGTTATGATCTTAATTGTTGAGTTTGGTTAAGCCATCTATCCTTTGTCCCAGCTTTGCAGAAAGGAAGGCAAGTACATCAATTCCACTGGAGTTTCCACTGTGAGACTTAATAATTAGTAATGATGTTTAATGAGCACTAGGTGGTTGTTTGAGTCCTCACTGTCTTGCTTCTTATTGCATGTGTCCATCTGATGATGCAGGAGACTGCCCGGTGATGATGAAGTGGCAGTTTCTGACCAAAGTAGCATAAGCCATCACAAGACAAGAGGCAGACACAGGACTAGTGTGGGTGGGTGACTGAGCTGAGTTCTTGCTTCTCGTTTCTGCTCTCCGAACTCTCTGTGCATTTGCCATAAGCTGACAATCTGTGATGAGGAAGAGGAGAGTCACAGGTTTCCCTCCAAAGAGTATGCCCTAGCGAACAGACCACAGACTGCTTTTCCATCTGGTACTTTGTCTCCCTTGGTGCATCACTTGTGCAGTCAGTTTTGCACCTTCAGGAGAGGTATGGGGGACTCCTAGGTTTCCTGATATTAGCAGGCAGCTTGGTTTTCTAGGCTTTCCTTATCTATGAGAGATGAATCAAGTTTGAACTTTTCTGAGCCTGCTGATAATGAATTCATACTGTGATTCTTGGTGAATGCTCAAATTTTTGGATTCTTACAGAAGTGGCTGGTACCGCTTCTTTTCTTCCTTGTCTGCAGAGAAAAGCTGTTAGTGTGCTTTGAATGTTGGCTTTGCTCTGAAGAGGACTGCTGGATTGGGTCCTTTTGGGAATGTAGGTTTTGATCTACATGGAGCCCAGTTGTGCTGAGGGAGAAGAAGAACGGCAGGTGCTTGCCAGAAGAGCAGGGTGGGCTTCAGGGATTCAAGAGACGTGTAACAGAGTTACTTTAATCACAGTTTCCTATTTCTGTATCCACACTCTTACCTGCATCCTGTTTTGGTGCCCAAGTCCTTTACTGGGATATATGTGTTGTTCCTTTTTGTATTTACTGTTACAGATAAGTCAGTACTGAAAAAGCAGTACAATCTTAAGAGTATTTGGCTCATCTCAGAGAGATCCTGGAGGTAGTTGTCATTTATGATAATTGCCATAGCTTTTAGAAGTTTTTGGAATAATGACAATAGACACCCTTCAGGGATCTGTCCTTCAGACTCTGTATGGAATATTTTTTTTTTTGCCACCTTCTTGCTGCATTTTAAAAAGAAAACTGAGCTCTAGTCATGTTTTTCAGTTAAGAAATGGAAGCTCCTTTCCTTAAATGTTTGAATCTCAAACACCTAGATGTACCTACTGCAAACACCTTTGGAAGTTTTAAATTCTGGAGAAAGATTAATTTTGGGGCAAACTTCTGCACTTTGCCTTTCTTTTTAGGCTGATGTAGACATCTCCCGTTCAGGTGCTGATCTTGCCATACTACACTTATGAGGCAATATCATTATAGAAGGAGCCTAGGCACAAACTTCTGGGGTGTAGACTCTTCCCCAGAGACCAAGTGGTTGAGAAGTCACTGTGGCACTTTTATGCAATAACATTTCTTTAGGGACCTTGTTGTATATCACAATTTTAAGAAATAATAAGCTAAATCCAGTAACTGGAAGAACAAAAAGTTATCCATTAAACTTGAGCTTTTTTACATACCAGTTCTGTAAGATTTAGAATGGGAAAGAAAAGATAAGCTTATTTGAAAACCACATTATATGTATATGAAATATGCATGTAAAATATTTTAATGGAATTAAAATAATTTCAAATTCTAGAATAGTTTTATTCAGGGTGCTTTATAACACCCTTATGGTAACCTTTCATGAAAAGCAAAGGGATGGACATGAGGAAATTTCAAAGAAGAAACAAGTGGGATTACAACTGTAAGCTAAAGTTACAATGATTGCAATTGTCAGTAGTGATTTTTTGTGTGTTAACATACAGTCCTGCAGTTCTCACTCAGGAAGAGTTTCTGTTGACATCAGGGAGAGGTTTTGCTTAAATAAAGACTAAAATCTGGCATTTGCACTTTCTTTAGGAGTGCATTACAGTGGCAGCTGTTTGTAGATTAATTCAAGAAGTCTTTTCCAGACTCCACACAGGAATCTGTGCAAGGAACTATATGTTCAAAAGAAGTTGGGTGGGTTTTTTTTCAAACAAACATACATGCTTTTCATACCCTTTCTAAATAACAGCTGAGTTGACAGGCTGAAAGACTCATCATTGTGCACATGGTACATAATGTGCAACCCAACTTTCCTGCAAGATAAGCGCATAGTTTAAATTAAATCCTGATATCTGCATTGCCCAACAAATGGAAGTGGTATGGCGCTTCTGGGACCTGGACTTCTTGAATGACTAGCTTCCTTTTTTTATTTTTATTTATTTTAAGGTGTGCATGAATTCGTTCCAAATGATGTAAGCACAAATAGAGTTTAAAGAATAATTTTACGGAAATGGCAAGAGTACCTTTGATCTCTAAAATTCCAATTTCAGTATGTCATAATTTTAACAGATAACACAACTGAATTCCTTGTTACTCTCAAGTACTCTGATGGTTATAAATTTCCAGGCAAAATTTGTGTATCATTTTTTTTTCTTTTTAATATAAATAAACTAACATCCCCGCCACCTGTTTCTTTTTCTTTGTTTTTTTTTTTTTTAAGCTGTTTACATGTGTGAAGTAGAAAGGCACCATCCTCAAGTCTTTCAGCATCAGGACAAGGAGAGCTTCTCTCGTGTAGAGGATCCCTTACCTGCTGTGGTAGGAGTGACCTACGAACTCTGTGCTGGCATTGTAGACAAACCAGACCTTTCTTTAGAAGAAATTGCATGTGGGGAAGTCTTAGAAGAGTGTGGCTATCGTGTTCCCATTAAAGACCTAAGAAGGATCACTTCTTACAGGTAAATAGCAATAAGTTAAAGCACTTTGCATTTTGTTGTTTCACAGCTTGCTGGAGTGGCTTGAATGTAAATTAATGTTCCCTGTTCCCTCATTTAAGTGGTGTGTTGGGGGAACATGGACACCTGAAAGTACATGAAAGGTGTAATTTTCAGCAAGTGAGAAGAGTATTTACAGAGACTTAAGGAATTATAAACTCATAATTATGGGATTGAATTCCCAGTGAGAATGATACTATTGTGTTTTATTCCAAAGACTATTAGAACTGGGAAAAGTTACATTGAGCTCCTCAGAGCAGTTTGTTACAGCACTAGAAAACAGCCGGTCTTAATTGTGTCAGGTGTTTTCCATCTCTGATTCTTATTATTCTGATAAACAATAGAAGCTGACCAAGATGGACTCTGATTTACCATTAACACCATTTTGCAGAAGCATGAGAACTTGTACCATCAGATCTCTTCATAATATTTGGGCTGTAATTAAGCCTTCTTTGAATTGGACAATAATTAATGTTATGTATGAAGATTTTGCTGATTTGACTGTGAAAATTTTTACATTCTATTTTTTGCAGGGTTTTAAATAGTTATTGAAATAGTAAAATCTATTTCATGTTTTAAAACATACTTCAGGAGTAAGAGGAAAACTTAATATGTAAGAGGAAAAATACAAAATGTGAGTTGTTGGAGGGGAAAAAAACACAAAAAACCCTCAGGAGAAACTTTGTACACAGCTTTAATCCCATTATATCTCCTTCTCAGCTTTTAGTATTGTTATCCAAAATGTATGTGTGTTTGTATTTTACAGAGAAAGCAGCAGGTTTTTTACTTTCTTTATTTTGCTTGACATCTCCATTGAACTAGGCCCTGTCATTGGTTTTTAATTTGGGAATTGAATACAAATCCACAGCTGTCAATCCTGGCAAATGTTATTTCCTGCTGGATTAACAAGCGGTGCTTCTGTTGAGGGGAGGGGATGAATCACAGGAGCTGTCTTTTACAACTTCTTGAAACTAGATTAAGGGTTTGTTCTACTGAAAGAAAAAGTGCCTGCTAGATTTATGAGCAAAAGCTGTCTATAGAATTTCATAGGTTGGGTGACAGGCCACAGCATGCATACATATACATATGTATATGTATGTATGTACGTACATGTGTACAAACACAAAATAGGAAAAGTCGAATATAATTTCTGTAGCTGTAGAAGTTTGTAGCTTCACTGTAGAAGTTTGACTCAACATTAACGCTTTACATCCGGCTAAAACACTGTATGTTTTTTGTTTGATACATGGCTTTGTATCTTACAGGTGGTTGTTCTTTCAGTTGCTTTTTTTTTTTTTTTAAATTGCACTGACTTGCAAAGAGAGTATACAATTGGAGTTTTCTCGGTGAGACCCATGCAAAGGACACTTAATATGTTAATCCTCCAGTCTTGCTTTGTCTACATGGACACAGCTTTCTGCCTATGGAGAACCGTGCTGAAGTCAGAAGGACCTGAATAGTATTTATTTTTTTAGATTAATATGAAAGGTTGAAGCCTCAAAGATTATATTTTACAGTTTCTTTTGTTGGACTTCCTGTGTTCCGTATTAGAACTGTATACTAACGTTACAGTCTTCCTATTAGGAGTGTCCTGTTCTTCTTCCTTCAGCCAAAGACTGGCATATCTGTCTGATCCTTGAGGAGATGATGCAAAGACAGGAAGTAATTGGTTCCCCTATGGTCTGCTAAGGACGTTTGTTTCCATAATGGCTATATTACATATAAGAATTTCAGGGCTTTTTCTAAGTGTAACAGGTTTTTCTATATGGTTTATGCTGTTTCATGCTGTGACTGTCAATACAAAGCATTGACATAAAGCATTACATTAATGCGTATGCATTCCATTAATAATGACAATACATCATGCACTTCTATTATTATATGTCATCTCAGTGATCCATGTAATAGTTGCTCTATATTATTTATTGTTCCAGTGCATCTGATCAGAGAGAAGCCTTAGAAAACAGAATTGGAAGGAATTTTGGGAGGATCTCACCTAGACGGCTCCTCTTCCAAAGATCAGGCTCAGCTGAATTTAAATCACTTTTGACAAATGTGCATTTGTGTTTTCTCTAAAATCTGATCATTTCATAGCCTCTCCGAGCATTCTGTCTGAAGTGTCTAACTATCCGTACCATGAGCAAGTTCTTCCTCATGTCTTGCCCAAACTCCCCTTTCTTCACTTCAAGCCTGTGACTTACTACCCTGTTCCCAGTGGACATGAAGTACTTCTGCACCTTCCACGTATTTGTTTGAACAAATCTCCCCTTTATTGGTTTTTTTTTGCCTATGCAAAACTATCTTATTTAAGCTTTCTCTTTAGACCATGTTTTCTAGATGTCTGATCATTTCTTCTGCTGTTCTCTGCCTTCTCTCCATCTGGTCTGCGTACTTCTTAAGAACATGGTGCCCAAAGTGGAGCACAGTATTTTAGTGGGGGCTTTACCAGTGTCAGATAGAGTGGAAGCATTATTTCCCTAGTCTTACAGATTATTTTGTTTATATGCTGTAGTATGATGTTTGCCTTTTTTGCAGTGGCATTATGTGTTAACTTAGGGTCTGCAATGCGTCCCTTATCTCAAAACTATTTTCTGCAGCAGTACTGCACTGTCATTCACCTCCTGTCTGTATTTGTGCTGTTCATTATTGCTGCCTGAACACAGAGCCTTGAACTTGCCTTTACTGAATTGCATCCTATTTTTTCAGACCATTTCTCCAAGTTGTTGGGATGATTTTGAATTCTAATATTCATCTCTAGCTTCTTGTAAGTAATCTATCTCAGCTTTGCTACCTGCAGTCTGTATTTCAACATACAAGTCCTAAAACAAAATATGGAATCCTATTTAGTTTGTATTTCCAATTTGTCAGTGATATCCATTCCATGAGTACCATTCTCATACTAGTTTTGCACCTATTTCACAGTTTCTTCGATTTCTAAGTATATCATGATCTCCTAACTTCTTAATGAAACTGTCACATTAGATAGCGTTCAAAGCCTTGATAAACTGAAGTTTCATTGTTTGTGTTGCTGCCCCATCCACAAGACCTGTTATCCTATTAGAGCTGATACTTGTTTGATTGCACTTGATAGATTCCTGACAAATCTGTTAGCTGTTGTTCCTTTCTTGATGCAAATAAAAATGCATTCTTACTGCAGGGGGGGTTGGGCTCGATGATCTCTCAAGGTCCCTTCCAACCCAAAGCATTCTATGATTCTATGATTTAGATAACTATAATTAATAATTACTGAGTTAAGTCTATTAGACTGAGGGCATGGACAATGCGTAGGGACAACTTAGACTAGGGGGAAAAATGGAATAGAAAATCCTTGAATGGAGAAAGAGGAAGAAGAGATGAAGGACCAATGCAGAGAAAAAACATGGGCGGAGGACAGAGTGGACTTGGGGAAAGTACATTCATTGTGGTGGAGAAGAATTCTCTTTGATGAAATGAAGAAAGTACTTAGACTGTGTTTGGGGGAATTTTTTTTTTTTATGTTCTCAGCTAACCAGAAAAGCTTAACTACAATACTGCTACAGATATTTCAAAAGCACATAAAGATAAGTTGTTGGATCCCATTCTTAAGCTCAGTCCAAAGCTCCTGTGACATGATACCCATCAGATAGAAGTCAGGCACTGAATTAAGTGAACTCAGACTTAATTACCTTGAATGATCCACAGAGTAGCTGTGGAGTCAATGAGAAATCAGGAAAGAAGCCAGGAGCTGGGGAATTTACACTAGTTGAGCAAGAGTCTTAGGAACAAGTTGTTCCAGCAACAGGAGGGCAGTATGGCATGGGTCAATGAAGGAGATTGGATTGGGGGCAGGTAACGAGAAAGACAAACATATTAAGAGGGACTTGACTGGAGGAGGTCAGAGGAATCACACTTTGAAGAATCAGAAATATCTGTTCCTATTATAGAAAAATGCCTGCCAGAAGGTGAATTTAAATGCAAATGGTTCATTTTGCAGTGTAGATGGAGGCAGGCATCATTCTGGAAACAGTCTGTATTCTTTGCAACCTGTGTGGTGAGTTTCCTCTTCTCATCATGGCTACACAAATTGCTACTTTTGTGCTTGACATACAATAAGTAACCTCATTTTGGTATTACAGAAAGTTTGTTTTCTGTTCTGGGAGCAGCTTTTGGAGGCTTCCTGAAAGTTTTGACACCTACTGATGTGTTGAGTTCTTATCAACTATATGTATGGCCTCAGTCAAAAATGGCAAAGATGGTAGATGCAATGCATGCAAAAGAACCATTTAGCTCAATAATAAAATGAAGCTAATACTATAGTAGTATAATTGTAAACTGAGGCTTCATGAAAATGGTTGCCAGTTAAATTGTTCACTTTTAAAAGCTTTAAAAGAAATCTGTGAGTTTCCATAATTTTTTTTTTCCTAAAGGGAATATTTTGTAAGTGAACTACTTTGGACTTATTTATAGATCAGATGTAATAAATTTTCTATCTGTCATGGTATCCCAGCAGTTTTCAGTTTGAATCCTGTGTGAAATTCAGCTGTGAGTTAGTTTCTTAGGTTGAAGTACTTCCAGCTATCTTCCTTGGGACTTATTTCCTTACAAGACAGGGGGAGGTAAATATGTTGCTGTTGTTAAAGATGTTATTATTGCCATTGCAGCTTACAGTATTTTCTTATAGTTCTTGAAATGTTTGGTCTTCTTGAAGAATATTTATAAAATTATTTGGACTTAAATAACACCTTAGAGCATCAGGATAAAGTTGAACCAGAGCTTCTTGTTCAACTTCCTTTTCCCTTCATTCTATCTTTATTTTCTCCCAGAAGTTGTAATAAACTCTTGTCTATGAATTGGATACAATAGGAGCTGCATGTTCTCAGCCCCGCTGCAAAAAAATCAGATGGATTAGTTTAAGGGCCTAACTATATTAATATAGGTACTTACTTTAATCTTCCTACATTTGATTTTTTTCCAAAAGTATACAA